ATTCACTGAAGTCCACATGCATGAGAGGGGACAGCAGGGAGCAGGCTGGGGATTCTTGTGACAACCTCACTGTGACCAGAAGCTCCCTTGGCACATGGGTACCAGACCAGAGAGAGAAACAGGGAACGAAAGCAGCAGGGGACTAAGCTCTGAGTAACCAACACTAGAGTCTGAGTAGATGGAGGAGTCGTGCCTGGGCATGAGGAAGGATGAGAGACAGGGAAGAGAGCGTTTTGGTCTTAGGAAGTTGGTGTTGCCCTTAGGCCTGTGTCCAACACGATTTCCCAATGAGAGTATCCTATCGCAAAAATATCCACCCCCCCAGTGTAAGAGAAGGGAATCCTCAGAAGTCCAGCCTGAATTCACTTTTAGTTGCTGTAACAGAGTAACACAATTTTTAAAATGAAAGCTTTATTTTGGTTGAAGGATCTGAAGGCCAAAAATTTCCTAGCAGGTTGCTATTGGAACACAGCACATCAGGCATGGAGGCACAGGCAGGAGAGGCAAGCACAAGGGGCACGTCACCTTCATCTCATCCTGCTCTCATGGTATGAGTGCAGTAACAGGAAATAGCATGAAGCCACATAAAGGGTATGTCCCATGCCCCATGACCCACCCAGTGTTCTGCCACTTCTCAATACAGTGAGCTCTACGGTCCAGAATGATGTTAAGAGGGGACATTCAGATTCACACAATGGGACATAGCAAGGGCCACAGAGAGCTGGATCTCTCTTTTATGCCAGTGGAGATTCACCATCTCACAGGCAAAGATTTCTTCCAGATCCCCCCAAAAACTTTCACTCTTGGAATGTGGAAGCCCACGAATCTCTCTTCGGGTAGCACCGGAGTCTCTGTGGAAGGAAGAGCTCCAATTTAAAAATGAGAGTTATAGGTCATTTCCAGTTGAAAGTTCCCCAAAGTGAGTTTCTGAGACATCACACATGGCTCTAAGATGATCGTGTGCTCAGTTCAGGAGGAAGACTGTTGTATCCCATCCCAGGTGCACCTGCAAGAGTGGAATCAGAAGCGGGGAAGCCCAAAGAGACCCTCATTTGTCCCCTCTGTGGCATAGTGTGGACCAGGATTGGTCCTCATGGCTCCTATGCGGATGGCTGTGGTGGTGCTGTTGGGAAGATGGAAAATGAGAGGAAGGGAATTTAGGGAATATGTATTTTGTTGGAAATTGGTGATTGGGACTGTGCTTTAGAAAGTGTGTCTGTGACACTGGCTCCTTCCACTCACTCTGTGTGATTCCTGGATGCCATGAGGTGGGCTAACTTGTTCTGCAGCACCCTTCCACCATGATGTTCCACCTCACCACAAAGCCAGAGACAACGGAACGGAGCAACTGTAGAATGGAACCATTCCTAAAAATAAGTCATTCCTCACATCAGTCATCTATGTCAGGAACTCCACTACACTGACAGAGGGTTAACTATCATCTTGTATCCCCAGATGTTCCATCCATAGCAGTAGTTCACGTTAGGAGTGGATCCATTCACTCCAAGGATGAAGTTCAATGACTGGGGAGATGTCTCATTTTGAGAGCACAAACCTCAACCTGCTCCAATTGTTCCATCTCCTACTCCAGAACACAGCCAAGGATCAGTTTTCCTGGCCCCAGGCTCTGAGTACTGTGCATGACACACATCACAAGGGAGGACTCTGGGAGCAAAGTCATGAAGCTCCTGCAGATGTCAACAGGGATGGAGAGCTGGAACTGCACCGGAACCACCAGGCCAGGGCGGGTTTGCAAGTTGGGTTTGGGGCTGGTTTCCTGGTGGGAAATTTTCAATGCATTAAGGGAGCTGGGTACCATTTCCAAATAATGTTTGTCATTCTCATTTGAAAGAAATACTTGTTCATACTGCTTTTTTACCTTTTCAGTTCATTTTCTTCTGCTCAGTCACTTTTGATGAAGAATTAAATCTTTTTCCTGCTAGATGGGAAATTTTTTTTTTAACCATTTGACTTTGGCTCTGTTCATAGTATTTTCTTTCTTGATATTGTCATCAACACAAGTAAACATATTAAATGCTTAACACAAAAATAGGTAAAGAATCCCTTACATGTATACTTACACAGTATTTATAGCAGCAAAAGGCACAATTCCTATATCCTGGAAGTAGGTGGTATGCTCATAAAGAAGGATAAACTTTAATCATTTAGAGAAAATGGATGTACGTGGCAACCACAATGTTAAGTGAAACAGATCAAAATACAATCTTAAATATGACATGATTTCTCTTAGACGATCCACCTAAATTAAAATAAATTAAAGTGCAAAGTGAGGAATAGATAATAGAACAAAGGAAATATATCAAGAGATAAAGGTAGGCAGGAGGGAGGAGAAGAGATTTCAAAAAAGAATTAAGATGTGTTATGAGCAAGGGCCATGTCTTCAAGAGGAATGTACTTGTCATGCATTACAAACTTGTAGTAATAAAAATAAATTCTTTCAACAGATACAGAATTACCACAGAATTGACTGTTCATTTCATTTTTCATGGCATAATGAAATCTTGTATAGCACGCAAATATTTAGGGATAGGAAATCAAGCAGGTGTTGGCAAAGACATAAAGGTAAAAGGATGAATTAACTAGGAAACTCATGCATGGTGTGTTACAGCATTTCCATCTGTACGACAGGTTGATTTTTGACACATGACACCACTATTCCTCACTTCATTTTGTTGGCTTTTCATTGCCACATTTGTGCTGTAAAATGGGGAAATCAGGAATCATGGCTTCTCGTTCACAATCTCCTCATCTTGGCAACAGCATCGCAGCTCCGTGCTGGGCTGTACTGCATGTCGGGCAGCCTACAAGGTGAGTGCCACCAGGTACAAAGACTTCTTGATTCCCAGTGAACAGAACATCTCTATTCATCTTCGTGGAACTCAAGTGCTCTCACTCAAATATTCAATTAAAATGGGTGTATATTCTTTTTTGTATCATTAAGTGGGAGAGAAAATTTGGTGAGTAGAGATTAGCTGGCAGTCATGGTAGAAGTTTCCTAGGGTGCTTGGATTCCTCACATGTATGTAGACCCTGGTCTCTGGTAGAGCTTTTGGCATGGATGGGTCACAAATAAAATTACTGTGAAGTCAATTCCTTTTTTAAAGAAAAACATTTATGCCATTCAGGAATCTTTTCTTTGACTAACTTCTATGCGCATTAGGAGAAAAATCTGATCACTTTGAATCCTCTGAAGTGAATGTTAATGTCAGCCAAAATGCACTACAGGATGAGACGTGATAACCCGTTAACAGACCGCCCTATAAGCTGTCTTATTGCTCTGGCAATGTAGTTCATGCCTCTAATTTGGAGGATAACCTTGTTGTCTGACACTGCAGGATGTCCCATGCTCACATCCAGCCATAAGAATGGCAATTTCTCTAAATGCATTACTTCCATTGGTTTCAGAATGGAATCTGTTAAAATAAAGCATTTGTGCTCCATTAAATAAGAGCATACTGATTTAATGTATATAGACGACTTGATCACTTTTTTTTTCCTCATTGAGTTTATTGGTACATTTTAGGTATACAGTACAGTTACATTCATTATTGGGATCTTGTACCTTTACATGACAGGTCTTGGTTCTCATTTTTTCCCCTTATCCCTTCCCTCCCTTCACCCCCTCCTCCCCTCCCCTTTTGCAAACACTACATTTCCATTTTTTCATTTTCTCATATTTTTTTCTTTTTCCTTCTGAGCTTTCCTCTACCCTTCCTACTTTCCCTACACCTTTAGCCACTTTCTTGCTATTTCACATTGTCAATTATATGGGATTATATAGGATGTTATCTACTATTATAGTTCGTTCACACCAGAGAAACGATTTGGTATTTACACATGTGTGCCTTATGTATTTCACTTAGGAGTATATCCTCAATATGTATCCATTTTCCTATGAATGAATCTAATTTCTCATTTTAATGGCTGAGTAGTATTCCATTGTATAGAACAACCACATCTTTATCCAGGTCTTTCCAAGATTTAGCTACTACAAACTGTGCCACTAGAAACACAGGTGTGCATATATCTCTGTGATATGATTCTTTTGATTATGTTGGAAAGATAGCCAGCAGAGGGATGGCTGCGTCAAATGGAACCTCCAGGCCCAGCTATATGAGGCATCTTCATACTGATTTCCATAGTGGTTGCCCTCCGCCAACAATGGAGAAACCATCAACAGAACTAAAGGACAACCTACAATGTGGGAAAAAATTTTTGCCAACTGCTCCTCAGACAAAGAACTATTAACTAGAATATATATGGAGCTTAAAACAATCTGCTCCCCCAAATATAAAGACCTGATTCAAAAATGAGCATCTGAAATGAACAGACATTTCTCAGAAAAAGAAGTAAAAACAGCAAGTAAATATATGAAAAAATGTTCCAAATCACTGGTCATTCGAGAGATGCAGATGAAAACAACACAGAGATTCCACCTCACCCCACCAAGAATGGCTGTTATCAAGAAATCAAACAATAACAAATGTTGGTGGGGTTGTGGGAAGAAAGGAACCCTTCTCCATTGTTGGTGGGAGTGCAGACTGGTGAACCACTTTTTTCTTATATCTGCACTATATACTTTTCTTATATCTACACTATATACAATCATAGATTGACAGGGAAAATGAGAAACTCATTAACTGGCGTGCATATGAATACTGGTGCTTTTTTCTTTCACAAATGAAAAATGAGTTTAGAGCCAGGCATGGTGTCACACGCCTGACCTGGGATCAGGAAAATGAGATCATCACTGCCTTGCTCTCACCATTCCTCTGAAATCAACTTCCCACTTAGCACAACCTTAAATTCAACTTGAGTTCAGGAGAGGAGATTCCTCTTAATAGTATGAAAGAAGCAAATAGAGTCTGACCTCAGGCTCCCCTTCATATAGTCAGTGAGCACCCACATGCAAATTTTTCCTCCATCTCTAGATTCAAATTCCCCTCTCAGGGTGTGGGAGCTCACAGCTCCATCCTCAGACAGGGCTGAGACCTCTGGGGAAGGCAGGTGTGGTCCAGAAGATGAGACTGCTGGGTCTTCTCCTGTGTCTGGTGACAGGTCCCCATGGTGAGTGTCCTCAATGTGAAACAGGGGTCCATGGGAAGGTGAGGAAAGCAGGTGACTGACAGGATGGTTTTCACTTGTCCCCAGGTGTTTTGTCTCAGGTGCAGCTGCAGGAGTCAGGGCCTGGCCTGGTGAAGCCCACAGAGACCCTGTCCCTCACCTGCACGGTCACTGGATTCTCCATCACAACCGGTGGTTACGGTTGGAATTGGATCCGTCAGCCCCCAGGAAAGGGCCTGGAGTGGATGGGGTACATAAATAGCAATGGTGGCACTTACTACAACCCATCCCTCAAGAGCCGCATCTCCATCTCCAGAAACACAGACAAGAACGAGTTCTCTCTGCAGCTGAACTCTGCCAGTGCAGAAGACACAGCCATATATTTCTGCACAAGAGACACAGCGATTTGATACAAGTGGGAGCTCAGACAGAAACCTCCCCGTAGGGGCACTCGGGACCAGCAGAGGGCGCTCAACACACATTGTTGTAAG